GCTTCCAGCTCGTTAGCACGCTCCGACCACCAGGCTTCTCGGTCCTTACGCAGGCTTTGCCCAATTTCATTACGTAACATCCTTCGTTTATGGTCAAACTCACGGTCACCCGGAGTAGACTGACGGGTCTCGATTAGTTGTAAGGAGCCTGAAGAAACCCAGTGCTTAAAAGCGGGACGTTTCGCGAACTCCCAAATGACTGTACCCGCTATTTTCATGGCGTCATGCAATTGCAACCAATGCTCATCTATACTTTTCGGTGGAGTGGTATCCAGCCTAGAAGCTAGCTCGGATCGATACTTACTAGCAACAGAAGTTGCAACCAACTTGCTGACATCAATCCTTTAGTGGCGGTCACTTCGTTGTCCACTGAAAAGTAAGGTAAGATTGGCGCAGACCAAGGCATGGTCAGAGTCCAGATAGGTACTCCAAAAGGAGCGGCAGTCTTGTACACAACCACGCCACCGGAAGCTGATCGCGATGTGATCAATCTGAGTCCAGGCTTGAGGTGCAGAGGGAGGACGCCAGGTGGCACATCGGCGATGACTGTGCGAAAGTTAGTGCTAGCCAGAAACAGGTTGTGGTCTGTGCAAAGTTGCAGTAGACGGTCCCCGTTATCTGACCTGCGACCAACGAGTCCCCATCGGCCACCTAAACGACTCTCTTCTGTGCCTAGACGCCCGACCTGAGCATTCAAGTCTCCGGCTAGTACTACAATATCTGTCGAACGCACTTTCTGGAGAAGAACTGATAACTGGTGGTAAAACTCATCCTTGATTGCATCCGGGCTGCAATCTGTCGGGGCATAGGCGGAGATGACGAAAAGACATCGTTTCTCACGCCGATTTCTTCTCACTTTGATGGAACTTTCTAATCTAACAGCACATAACCGACTGTTAATGGGGATCCAATCGACTGGTGCTGCCTCAGCTCTAGCGCTTAGTGCGACACCAACGCCAGCAAGACCAGACGAAGATGCCACAGGGTTCCCGGATAAGCGCACGTAAAACAAGCTTTTCGAAGCGACAGATGGAGATCGAATTTGTAGTACTTCGCCAGAGTCTTGAATACGGGTCTCGGATAGACAACACACGTCGATATTAAGACTTTCCAAAGACATAGCCAGCCCTATCTGTTGTCCGACCTGCATAAATGTGCGAACGTTGAAGGCAGCCAGTTTGAATGGTGCACGTGGTTTCAAAAAAACTGCTTCAGTCCTCGTATTCGGTGGTAACATACAATTTTCAACCGGACAGTGACTCGAGGACGTTTAGATACAGTCGAATTTCCACCAAAGACGAGCCGCTGTATAAGTATAAAAGAGGGTGAATAATGTGGAAAATAATAATAATAATGATAATAATAACAATAATAGTAGTAATAATAATATTAGTATTAATAATGACAATAATTGTAATGATAATAATCTGAATCAATTGTTTGTTTTTCAAAGCGAAAAATGTAACTTCCATAGGCATAAAGAGTTCATCAATTTGTGTGTGGGCTGTGATACTGCCCGGGTGCCCAAACCGAAACAGCTGACTTATTACCACCTTCAAATCAGTACTCGAGATCACGTGATGTAAGAATTTAATAGCTTTGTTTGTGACCTAATGGCAGTTCAGTATTATTTAAAGATAAAAGCGATAGCGGCAACGATAAACGTCATAATCCTTACTACCAATATGCTTAAACTGTCTTCCAAGCCAGTTCGTATAACATTAACTACTTCTACACGTCAACTGAGACAGTAGAGAGAAGGCATAAATATTGATTAAATGCTTTACTCCAAGCTTAGTTTGTGTACCCAACGAAAACCTTAACAATTGATTCAATTCAGCGTTGATTGAACAACACGCTTCCTGGAATTTCCGAGCCGCTAGAGGCTTCGACGAAGGATATTTTCGGATTTCTCAAACAAAAAGTAAACTCACATCTCATTTTATTAATTAATTCCCAGATTAGTTAATGATTGAACGCCTTTCATGTATATTCCAGATTTAACTTATCTTATTGATGTTGAATCATCTTGCAAACCTCATTGTTTGTCACTTTATACCTTCTGTTGATCTATACTGTATATTAACAGAATTTACTAATTTGAACCTTAATAATTCTTTCTATTTACACTGTATCGAAGTCTCTGATAATAATTCTCAAATCGATTTTATCCACAAGTATACATAAATGCTTTTCGATTTCGTTTCGCTAAGCAAACTGTCTTCACAAATGCTTAATACTTGTGATGACAGTAGTACTTATTATTTCAGGTTCGTTGGAAGACAATCAGGATATAATCGTGATACATTAATACTTGATTTGCAGTAAATTTTAATAAAAACAATATATAATATGTAAAAGTAAAAAATGATTGAGATTTCCAGGTATATTACAAGCTTTAAGAAAACTTTATCCGTACAAAAACAGTGAAATTAACTACAGCTCACACTAATAGACATCAACGGCTTGACGTTCGTTTCGTTCTTTGGTCGTTATATGAAACACGAATATTATGGAAAATTGTTTGATACACAATCGTTCTTCTACATACTTCATGTGTTGTTTGCTTGTAAACAAAATATTTCAAAAATCAACTACTCTTTATAAGCATATTTACTGCTTATTACTCAATCTAGATATGGCACATTACTTATATTTTTATAAGGACAATGAACTATAAAAAGCAACGAACAACTATCAACTCTACAGATTTATTTGGTAGTTCTTGAGGTCAGTTACAGTAGTGTCAATAAAATATGAAATCTGTCCTTTCTTGATAATGTTATTATTAGGTAATCACGTAACTCGATTACAAAAAAGTTTAAATCATGATTTACCTAGACAATATCCTATAGAAAAAGGGTTTATTTCAGGTATGAGACAAAAATCAAATTAACAGACATGATATTTCACTACATTTTAGGATGAGTCCCATAAACCAAGATTTTTTTCGTGTAACAGTACACGTATGTGTTGATTTTAAAAACTGCCCAAAATAACTATTTTAAATTCCGAAAATACTCCATACATTCAACCTGTTCCGATCAGTAAAATAATATTGTCTGTCGCGATGTGATTTGTGATAATTTGAGATTTCTTATAATAAACGAAGGACGTTTATTTCTTTTTATTTATAATGCATCTACCTTGAGGGTACAACATGTAATCTTGTTAATTCATTAATTTAAACACATAAACATTGGTACAAGGAGGCACCAAAAATATTTGCTACACAAATCATCCAATTTGTGTAGGGGCTGGAATACTCCCCGGGCGCGCAAACCGAGGCAGGTGGTTTTCACAGGGGGGACACTCCCAAAGCCTTAGAACAAAAGGTCTAATCCATAAGGCAGTGGAGCAACATTAGGTGATGCAGTCCCATGGTAGCCGGTGGTTAATAATTGGTCCATACGTCATTAGATCCTCAGGACCCTGGAGCCCCTGTGCACCACTGGTTTGGAATCAGGGTTTTCCAACTCCCTCTGATGGACCCTCTAAATCTACCAACCCACTTAAGGCGCCAGACATCCGCTTTTCGTTCTCGATCTCGTAAACGACACCCATAACGAGAAGACAGTGAGGAGGACTACCCTGGCAGAGGCTGTATACGTGTAGCCACGTGAGTTAGCTCAGAAGGCGACTTGAAAAGACTTTTGATAATTGACGGGACGTAACTGCGATGAACTCCTTCGAGAATCCTTACCTGTCACACGTGGTCTCATGACCGATAAAATGAGCTGTTACTTTCATTTCAAAGAAACTTTACTTTGTGTTTCAAGGCATGGATAGAGCAAAAATGTGCTCGTAATCAATAATCAAAACTATACTAAATTTAGTATTATGACGTCTTCATACTATTTCGGGATATTTGAACTCAGATTCGTGCATATATCCATCTTTGAATTCTTGAATGTCCATATTAACAATAGTTTGGAGTTTTAAAACGTGATTGAAAACTGAGAGATTCAATAAAGGTTTAATGGTTTTATTGGACTAGAAGAATTTAATATGCCAAGTCTCATACTAGGACTACAGATTTCAGTAAATGTTATTACATAGAAACTAAATAAAAGATAAGCTATACTATTTTAATGAACGAGCACATAATAGGGACAATCGAATGTATTTGAATACAAAATCACAGAATTTCTTAGTAAAATCTGAGGACCATACAGCAAATACTTCATTTGCAAAATATCAAACAATCGTCTCCGACTTCATTTCCTTTCGTTTCCATACCAATCATTTTCTGTTCTCGTCTCCTTTTCTTCGATCTTCTTAACCTTCTGCAGCCAGGTATTTCACTTTCGAGTGATGACATACTACTTATATTTATCGACATCAGTAGCACACACTACAATATGATTAGTTGTACAAAGATTTCAACAATGCCAGGGTCAATACATGACCTAATAGACAACTAGTTTATTATTTTGATGAACGAGTTATCCTGAGGTGAATGTATTTACACAATGTAGACTGCTAGTAGATAAAACTAAGTAACTATTAGCTACTATTTATATTGGAAAATTCGGGAATAGTAGTCCAAAGTATAAAAAATTCATCAATATTTCATAGTTTGTCGAGAACGTCAATACAATTGTTTTTTAATAGCGGTGTTTCATATGTTCGTTTCCATGATATAAAATGTGTCAAAATAACTGTTACACAATTAAGACCACACAATAACAATTCCAACATTTATTTTACTTCATATACATATATACCTCATAACACAGCGATACATTAACCTGAATGAACACATGATTATTTTTTAAGGAAAAAAACAGTGATAAATATACTTTTTGTTATATCCCAATAAGTGAAAAAATTGTATTTTTGACGTTCCGTGACTTAATGCAGGCTAATTCTTCAGACCAAATATTTATTTATCATTAACTTTCTACCCAACGCTCAACTTATTTGAAACTATCAGGCCCAACCTTGCTAGTGAAAAAGACAGTGTTTGCATTTCCTGGGAAATAAACAATAACAAAGCTTTAAGGAGCTTCATCAGAAGAATTATTATGATTATTATCTTCGTACTCCAAGCCAACTGTACGAATATCAATCATATCTAACACTTGTCTAAGAGTAGCAGAGAACGTTTCCGCTGCTGAACGTACGATTCCACCAATACTACCAGAAGCAGTTTCATTGACTGTTGGTGTACCAGAAGGACCACGAAGAGCCAATTCAGCATTTATAGAGCTTGAGGGTAAGAATGATGATAGAAGACCGTTGAGAAATCCACTTCCAGCCATAGTTTCACGAACGCGACGTCTATATGAAATTTATCAAAAATATTTAGCTTTAGGAAAATAAAAATCCCTAATAGGCATTTTCATTTACGAAAACCACTTCGTCAACAGTATCACAGATAAACAGTAAAACAATAAACAAATCCTAAAATAAAAATCGACCGTAAAGTTAATAGTGTCCGACAGTAAAAAAAGGAAAACACTTGAAAACGTAGATCAAACAAACCAAATAACTATAAGCATGATATCTTTTGACTAACCTTTCTTCCTCTGGATCGTAAATATTGATAGAACTTCTGGGTGGAAGAGGATCAAATGTATAGATAGGAGAACTTGTTAAATTCTAAACGAAAAAAAAGCATTTAGCAAAGGAACAGAGGTTTCTACTAAGCGCCAAAAAACCAAATACATAAGTAAAATTATATATTTTAATATCGTTTTGTAATACACTCTTATTTTGTAATTTCTTCACAGTATTCGTATTTGCACATGAACTGTCGAAAAAGCTGTATTGTGTATGCCTCGACATTTGCTACATTGATATTTATATTCCTAAAATGTCTAGGTAAGATTTTAGCGGATTTGACCAGTGAAGTGGTGGTTTGGCTGTTTAAGAAGTCGACTTTACACGAATAGACTGCAAATTTGAACCCTGAACATTTACTTCAATTTCGGTAGCAAGGTAGTAGTATTATTAAGTCTCATATCTCAAGTACATTCCAAAGCTAATTATTCAATTTTATATTTAGCAAATAAATTACACATTCTGCCGATAATGTAGTAAAGGTCAACATTAACCAGCAATTGATACAGTCGGTCAAATTAGTTAAGTAACCTGGGTTGTGAAACAAATCATGTACATACTGTCATTTAAAATGAAGTTCGGAATAATTGAAGTTACTTGCGCATTAAATCATACATCAAATACAGTATTTTTTGGAACTAGAAGCCTTTTTCATCATGCTTGTAAGAAATTACAAAAGACAATAATCGTAGTAAATATTGAAAATGGTTATATTGCACACAACATGCTCAAAAGAAATGTGAGTAAAACTCATAGGTATAGTGATGACTGATACTAGCTAATTGAATCGAAGTATCACCGTAACAAGTGGATCTAAACCGAATAAATTTCAATTAAACACTTACTAAACTGCCAATAACTCTTGACTAAACTGCAAGCTGTTGAGAAGGTAAAAGAAGATAGAAAGTTCGTTTCCAAATCTAAGCGATAATAGTACCGGAAAAAGTATATGGGTGTTTGTAGAATTTCTTGTTTTGCGAATCCACTTATGGAGCTTGGTTTAATGGTACACACGTGGCTTAAAATTAGAAATAACAATCATTTTAAGAATTCCTTTTTAACCTGACTTTTGTCAGATTTTCTGGAAATATTGCACCTACGAACAGATATTCTGTTTCATAAAAGACTTTAAACCCTGTAGTTATCGTACCGTTATTGGAACATTCGTATGACATTATCACATATCCACAACCCGAAATACAAGGCAACTAATGCTACATATTAATGCTAATATATTACATACCACACGATTACCTCACGAAATCATAACTTCAAAACTTCTAACAAACTGGAAGCTAATGGATTATATGTTAGTTTTGGAAATATCAATAGTAGGATTCGAAAGTGCTAGTCGTAAGAGTAACGTATTTACCAGAATCTTAGGGTCTTGTCTTTTGATTTATAATTAAAAAGAGACATCAATGGTATACTATATTTTTCACAATGAAAATATCTATCATGTATCTTATTTAATATTTGCATCAACAATATTAAGTATTAGCGAAACATTTTATAACTGTTGTTTTTGTTAAACTTTTATAGAAACTTTTATTTAACTGGTACATCACTAACTCGGGGTAAAATGGGTGGAGCTTCAGAAACTTCGGACAAAATCAGGTGCCTCAAAATCTTCGGTGGGAAAACAGGATAAAGAGTTTTTCGTCTAAATGAACAAAGAAGAACAAAAATTACATGGGTTCATTAGTGTAATCAGGTTATTTTGTGAATTATCTACGTAAAACTTGGGGAATAGGCTTGATACTAAATACAAATGTTTAGCAAAGTTTCTTAAACTAGTTTTTTCTTGAGAGTTTTAGTTAGGTCATAGGTTGTAGTTATCTGTAACATTCGCACTCAAACTGATGTGTTCAACGCTTTCGTCCATTTTTCTTTTCATTCAGTGTGTGACCGTTAACTTTTATTATATTCGTACGTTTCATCCAGCATGTTGAGCTATGCTGCACTAACATATTCATAGCAGACAGTTACGGATAACTCCGGACGCTTGACATGGAGGGAATAGGAAAAATCTTACTCTGATCTTCAGTATTCATTGACTAAATGAACAGAAAAATGACTGAAAGTACTTGATTCAATATGTGTATTGAACATTGAAACGTTGAGGATAACTTCAGTTGACTTGACTAATTATATCAAATAACTGTGTATAAGGTTACGTGCTCGGTTTTGTACGATATATTTTATTTGGAAGCAAGTAATAATTACTTGGCTGATAAAAAACGAATGTAGACCCCAGTTTGAACAAGTTATTCTGTGGTAAAAAGTGAAAGGACGGTAACGAATTGAGCCAATTTCATCAGCTTAAGGTGAACAGTATAATATGGTAGAAATATCTTTGAATTAATAAAATTAACATCCTAAGTTGTGAGTGACAACGAACATGTCATGGTCTATGATAATCTCCTACCATTCTAGCTGAATTGAGCGGAATAGCGTGTTGAGTTCTCATCTTAGTGGTTAAGTATTTAGATTATAAAGCATCAGAAACCGAATAATACGGATTGCTTCAGTTGGTAATTTCAGCAGTTACTACTATCCAGGCCGTAAATATACAAGTATTTGTAAGACACTTTATTCAAAACCCATTAGTTACCATGTCTATATTCATTGGTACTTTTATTTTGGTTTACTTGGATCATTAAGATTCGCATAACATTTGCACTTTGTAATAAAACTATCTATCCATAACCAATTTGGCTCACATAATTTTATTATTCATTTATTTGAACACATAAATATTGGTACAAAGGGGCACCGAATACATATGCACCACACAAGTCACTTGATTTGTGTGTAGACTGTGATATTGCTCGGGTGCCCAGACCGAAGCAGGTGGTTTTCTTAGGGGGCCACACAGAGAGCCTTCGATCTAAAGGTCTGGTCCATAAGGCAATGGAGCAACGTCAAGAGATGCAATTCCATGGTAGTCAGTGACCAATAATTAGTTCCTTCAGGATACTGGAACCCATGTGTACTATTGGTTTGGAATCAAGGTTTTTCAACTCCCCTAGGTGGATCCTACATATCCACTAATAGGTTATTGTTCTTACACATCACGTCTGAGATGAATGTATCCGCTCAAGGAAAACAACAAACATAAACCAAAGCATGAGTCTCACACTCCACCCTAACCCATAAAGTGTGACCACTTATTTGAAGATCAGTGAACAGAGGTTACGACTTTTAATCACGAAGTATGAACTTTGCTCCGCTAACCTCAGTTTGGGAAAAACAATGGTGGGAGTACCCTTTATATGAATCTGACTTAAAATTAAGTGGAATAAGTTGCCAGTGGTCGTTAAAAAATATTAACTATTGCAAACCCTAATACGGATATTAATAAAGCATTACCAAGACACCCAAATACTTCGAAATCCATGAATTCTTTGTTTATTTCTTGTTGAATTTATGTTGTAATGGTATCAGTAAGTATACTTGAAGAATATGGATTATATATATATATATATATATATATGGAGAGAGAGATTTTCGGTATTGTCATCTAACGTCATGAAATGATCACTGCGTATACTCAAAAAACAATGAACAACTCAGTCAATTCGTGTGATATCAACTTAAATGTTTCGTTTCCTGTCCTAGTAAGCGGGATTTTTATAGACAGCTGATGTACACACAGATTCAACTTACTACCGTTGTGAAAGTTTATAGCGTTTTAATCTGAGCAAATGTATTTCCTTCTTTGTTAAAGATAAAGTTTTGCTGTTATCATGTCGAATACTAGAAAACCTTCCGTTTACCTGTTACGTTACGGAATGCGAAAAACACGACTCAGTAAAACTTTTTGTATCCTTACTGATGTCACGCTAAAAAGATTATATACATGTTTGATGCCACAAACAATTGTTATTAATTACCCTAACATAGTTGGAACGGTGAAAAGTTATATAAAAAAGTAACAAAATTGCATGGCATGGAAGATATATGGGGATGGTAATTAAAATTAATATAATTAAAGCAAATATTACTAAAATAGTTATCACCTTTTGGAATATTCAGAAAGACGTGGATCAATAGTATTAGACTCAGAAAGATGCAATTGTTTAGGTTCAACCAAATTTAAAACAGTCGCAATATTTTTTTCCAGCCACGGAAGGACGTTGGGTGAGGACCAAAGAGGATGCATGCGAGCGACATATAGACTTAGTAAACAACCAAGACTATCTGATTCACTTATAAAAATAAAACGAAACAAGAAAGTACGATATTCAGTAATAAAAACTCTCAACAACACTACATCAATATTAATGTAACGAGGTAGGACCACGTTGGATTCATCGAATTCCTTCGGACTTAATTTAGTCAGTCGTAACCCAGAGCCTGGTACGTGGTAGTCTTAGCGATCTAGGATCGTGACCGCAGAACCCAAGGGACAATAGCTTGAGGCTAGTTGCTCACGATCTTTAAATGGAAAGTTTTTTATGTGTAAGCTACGCACTTCAAAACGCCATGCCACCGGAGACGGACACCCGTAGGATAAGGTGTGACATTTTTAGGGTTGAATTTTTCCAACTCCTTCCTTCCGTTGTGAGGAGGTAGATGGTTGTCTGTGAAAGCATCTCACCGCTGTCATACTCTTCTAAAGTCAGCAGTACGACTTCACCCTTGGGCCTAAAGTTGCTGCTTTTAGTCTTACCGTTCTTCAACCGACCCACCTGGCATGGTGAGACCTAAAGCGACATGTGTTTCAGCCAATATAACATAGCTGAGTCATCACTATAGGCAATCACGACCACCACATCAAGGAGCAGCTACGGTCGAGGAACTTGAATGTTCAGAAATGTAATCACTTAAAATACGATACCAGAAATATTCTCATGTACTATTCAAAACAAATGTAGATGTAGGTAACCGAATTAGACACATGAAGCTTGTTATTTATTGATGACGCCAAAAATTACTGAGTATGCGATAGCTGACTAAATTGTAATAGTTACATATTTCACATTTTAGGATCAAAACGAACGTCCATATGGCGTTATTCCTCACAAAATTGATACTTCATCTTTAAGTTGGATCCGAAATAGAAGGCTCCTAAAATATGGCAAGACGCTTATGATGGAGATTCCTTAAAGTATATATGGATACTAAGTTAATAATCGTAACATAGTTGAAAAATGATCAGATACAGCACTACATAATGAGACTGTAGTTATAGGCTAAAAATATTGCGGAGAATAGTTAATAATACGACAACTTTTACGTTGTCTAAATTGCATTCTAAGAATTTACTTAATGAACTGATGAGGTACCAAACGCTGAATGGTGAGGCAGTAAGCAGTTAGTAATACATATATACATGGTTTTGATTAGAAATTCTAACCAAAAAGGTGTATAGGAAATATCGTGTGAGTGATGCTTACATTACTTGCAAAACACTTGATTAACTAATGATGGTTATCAATTAGATAAGGGGTTACGAAATTATTAACAATGTATCAATGTATTATCAATCAAACGTACCTCAATAGAACTTCTCTTCCAAAAAGGATAGATTTTTCAAGATTTGTAATACCCCCGATACTTGTATGTTTAAGTAAGCGCGACACAAATCCGGGAAACATGATTAAAGCATCTTGCAACTAAAAGGTACAAATGTATGCAGCTAAAATTGATTACTTAAAAGACACAGAAACGATATTCGTTTTATCAGATTAACTAATGTTCGTAACGGAAAAAATCACTGTATACAGAAGTGAGTTGATGCAACAAATCATGAAACAAAAGCATGGAATATTAACAAGTAGGACGAACTAGTTTACAACTTTTCATCAAAATTCATAGGACATTGGAAAAAGCTTCATGAACACTGGAGCGACGACACAAAGTGAATCCCGGATAGCAAATTGAACCATATTCATTAGTCCACAAATTACTAACTACTGACTTCAGAAAAAAAGTCTATTTTAGTTTTCAGTGAAGCTTGCAATGAGCTCAACAACGAAACTTACTTCCAATTGCATAGCTATAGAAAACTTTAGATTGATAAATACACTGAGTACTAATAAATCAAATTGTTTGTGCCATTCTTGCATTTCTTATAAAATGAGAAACTATTCACTAACCTAATCCAAACTTAGAATGATGCATTGGAAGTTACGAAAAAATGTAAACCAATAATTGGTAGCGAACAAAGTTTTGAGCTAGATAAGACATAAAAAGTGTGTGATCAAACCGTTAACTTATCTCAACATATGATTTCAGTGATGCCAATCGACACAATTTGAATAATATGAATAGCTTCATATCAGTTCTTTCAATTCAAACTTTTAAATAACGATGGAACCTTACACAAATACTAATATGGTGATAAATCCTAAACGAAGACAAACTTAAAGTATTAAGTATTTATATACCTAAAAAATGTCATTGAATATTTTAAACATATCCACAAGAATTATGAAATAGCTAATCGAATCGTTTACCCAAAATCCTAATAAATGAGTAGTCAGTAGATAAAAGTGGCAATCCTGAAGCAATAATTCATAACTCTGTCACAAAATATGTTCCAAAAAAGGATATTGACCAACTAACAATATACCACTATTAATATGAAGATAAGACTTTTTGCTGTGAATTGATTAGATTGACGGTTTTTTGACAGAATAAACTAAGTAATTTATTTAAAATAATTGCTATGAACGAATGAGAGGTAAAACATAGTAAAAATGTTTTAAAGAAACTATTCAAGCTCATTTTTGAAGGCAAATATAATACGGAGAAGCTAAGACAAATTAAATTTATAATTAATCAACTAATACATTAAGAAACCTGCATATCAATGGAAATCAAACATACACACTTACAGATTCATCCACACTCATCTTGTTTTTATCACATTTCTCTGGATCTTCACCAATCAACTTACGAGCCAATGGTATAGATAAACCAAAATTGGGAAGCAAGTACAAGTTGCGCGAACCCTTTAAGTAGGTAGTAGAAACGTTGGACACGGTTTAATTTCTTCAAAAATAAACATTGGGTTGCAATTTTTAAATCATTTAAATTCAAATTTTTAGCCCTATGTAATTAAAAATCCGCAAGACAATGCACAGTAAATTTCGAATAATTAAGTGAACGACATGATTCAGAATAGTAAATTACAAATAATTCTTTATCTGTACGCCATATAGAATATACCAATTAATACAGAATAGATATGTTTCAGGCACCATTTTTTACTGACAATGATTGCTCACAAATTTTTCAAGTTAAGGGTGTATTCGGTTACCTAATAAAACTTAGCTGAAAGAGTAGTTTGAAAACTAGCAAGACAACCTAGAATCCATAATAATATTACCTAATTATTACCTCGTCAGAGAACACAAATACAAAAAATTGATGAAACTATGACGGTAGTGAATTAGAAGTTCAAATCAAACCTACAAACATGAAGAAGATTCAAGCGTGAAAAATGTAGGTCACATATAAGATCAGCACTTAAGTACACTGGATAGAACAAAGCTTATTGATAGGCGGACTGCAATAAAATAATTGATACTCAGAAGTTGTTGTCTGAAATATACATCAAATGGTTTAAGTGAAACTCACAAGCAAAACTACAGGAAAGTGGAAAAAACTTGGAAAATGATCAGAATTTTGATGTCAGTTAGAGGATTAAGCAACACAGTCGAATGTCTACCCTTCATTACAAGATAATGAGTAAATACGTGTACAAAAACGCGGTAAACACTGGGTCAACTTAAATAACACATAACAATCAACAACCTCAACCATCTTAACTAGAGAGAAATGAATTCAAATAAACTTTCTAAAAATGTACCTTAAGCCATTCTGTAGACGGTGATATGCAATAAGTACCTTTAAAAATGTAGACTGAAGCTGTCACTGTTTTCTGAGTTACAATGGCAGGACGTTTTGAGCATTAATTACAATAATTTTGTGATAAATAATGAAATATGCGAGAATGTCAACCGACCGCTAAACTAGCTTGATGAAATGAAACCCCGAAAATGTGTCTTGATATTTGTTATCATCAGTTTTCTATGAAAACATGAGTATTCATCTAGCTTTTTTGCTAATCCCAGTTCTTTAAATATGCTCCCGAAGATTTAATAGAGGTGAGATTTGTGTACAACGGATATCATCTCGTGATTATAACAACAAGAACTACTGAAGACATACAACATAGTTATGTGATCAAACATTAGAAAGTGAGATTGATTAGTATCAGTTTATTATCAACCTTCATAAATAAGAAGTGTATTACAAGTCATGGAAATGCAAACATCTATTACGAGATTTAGAAAAGCCCTTTCTGAAACTCACAGTTGATGGTAGAGTAAGAAACAACTGGAAAATTTGTTTATCTAAGTAGGTGTAACTGATTGTGACAATAGTAATCTCCACACAACAAAAACCATGTCACAGGTTAGCAGGCTTCATCTCTGAAGCTATAAAAGGCAGTTATCTGGTGTTCGAGAGCTGAAAGTACAAAGCTTTAAGTCATGTAGTTCTGCTTCATGTTCATTTGATCTCTGCATCACATAGACGCTGTGCTACTGGTATTTATGCCGCAGTTTTTTAACAGTGATGCATGCAAGAATTAAGGTTATCTACATCTGTCTTGTGCGACTGATATTTTTGTACTGATAACTTTTTTCATTCTTTCGATTTTCAGAGCTATGCATCATGTCTAGAGTATATTTTTATGTTCACTAGATACAGACTGCTTTTTAAATAATAGTAGTAGGCATAAAAACAAATCAAAACTACTAGCAATAATCAAAAGTGAAAAATGTCCTAACAAAATAAGCTTATCATTTTGGAACTTACATTTAGGCTATCATATAAATCAATTAGGAAACTATACTGCCTGGAGTAAATAGCATAACGATCTATCATGAGTAGGACTGTCAAAGGATCATCTTCATAATCAAGACTACAATACAAAACGAATTAATTTATGTCATTTCACAATCTATAGGCCGATATATTACAAAATTTAATAATTTCATTGGTCAAAACTGTAACAAGAAAATTTACAGAAAATTTTATACACAGAACTTTTTCATAAAAACTAAATCATTGTTACTTTTATCATGTTTTGATATAAAGTGTACAAACCTAAACCAATGCATTATTGTACAAAACCTTAATCCTTTTTCCGTCTATTTGTACGGAAAATAACCGATAAAACACTTCACTTCAATCAGCAATCGTATAATAATTTCGTTACGACAGTCCATATCATTAACTCTAAGGATGTTGTTCGGGTGATAAAATATAAATGGTTGAATAATTTCGCAACCAACATGAGCAAGCTACTTGTTGACCAAGCACCACAACAGGCATTTAAATTACTGCACTACATCTTACGGATTGGGAATGATTTCTTGTTGACTTCAGTAAGATAGTCTTGGACCACATCCATGACCGGAGAGCAAACCAAAATGTTTCTTTTATACTTAGATGCAAGCCAAATACGTTATAATTTTCAGACGTCACTAAGGTCAAATAAGCATAAAATACAGTGACCTCTCAATTTTAGGAAGCAGTGATATTTGGGTTCACTATAAGAGAGACAAAGGTGAAGTTATATACATTCCAATACACAGAAAATTACTCTATGCTTGTAAAGCTACATAAAATATCTAAAGTAATATTAGGTATATAGAAAGCTTTAATGAATATAAAAGGTTCCAGATAGTCTATGTAGTAACAAATCTGTTACCAAGTAAATTATTCTTTATCTATGCCGAAAATATGATCATACTGCTACTTTGAATTATTTAAACAAGCTGGGATTTTCAATTCATGATCGCTAAAACGTTCTAGTTGAATGAACCTAACTAATTTACTAGGTACAGATTCGTAGACTTGGCTTCCAGCTACACACTAAGTATGAGGGCTGACTGCCAAAGAAAAAAAATGAAGGGGGTGGAATTGGGTTTGAACCAGAGAATTGATGGTCAAAAGTTACAGATTGAATACTTATGAATAAAAGTTTAGCGGTACAATTGGATGTTTTTAGGACGATTAAATTACAAAAATACAATGTATTGGGGAAAAGTCAACTGTAAAATAGTGCATTGACTATATATTGACTGAATCCTAGTGCATTCCAAGTGTTCCGACCAAAAAAGCAAGTTAGATAGCCACGTATGATAAAAGTCGATGAGCTCACATGGTCACAGCAGCAAGATGTCACCACACCAGTCACTTACTCAACCTAGCTCACAACTATTGTCTTCATAGAGAAGTTAAACGGATCGTTGATAATCTGTGCTGACATTTTAACGGATCTTCAGAACATTATCACTATCCTCTTTTAGTAAAGGATGACCTATTTAAAATTCCTAACGGTAGATTTTATTTCGTAAGACTTGACAAAGAAAACTTATACTGACTGGAAGATATTGCTTCACAATACCAGTCAGTCAGCTACAACGTAGGACCAGGCACATATATGTATCAGTCTTACTGACTATAAAGGTACACTATGGTGTATCCAGGATACCCAAATGAAAACTGCAGCTGATGGACACTATTTAATCTGATATTCCGAGTATATTATTCTCTTGATGGTTTCAAAAATCGCCGTTAGACCTTCGTAGTAAAGTGAAAGCAGTAATACAATGGATTTTCGACAATAGGTTCAGGCCCCGCCATTAAGTATCAATTTTTTAAGGCAGTGAAAAAACTAAATTTTATCTTCTACCCCTGTAAACGCCGACTGGACGCTAAAAGCTTGGGCTATTCAACAAATGACAGGACCTAAAGATATGTTTTCATTTAGATCCTTTCTCAGATACAAGTCAGCTCTCATGCCATCTTTTCACTACATTGTCCACTGAACTACCTGCTTGAGAAGGATGTACCATGGGACTGGATTAAAGAATAAGAACCAGATACTTTCAAGTCGACTACAGTTATAATATTAATCCTGGTTATTTTGCTTGATATCTTCAGTTTACTGACACACGAAGAGACTCAAGTAGCACGAACATTTGAACCAGATTTACGAGCAAGGTGGGACAGACGCTGGAGGAAGACGGTATACTTTTGGGTGAACCCAAAGTAGTTTGCAATGATTTAGGAAGGGATATTGGAGATAATAAATCCCCGAATACAGCGCATCAGAAAGAAATCAATTGTAATGTCTTACATTGAGTTAGGGTGATTTCCTTTCATTTGACTTCTGTTTAGTATAAGATTTAATTGTATTAATTTTGTGTGACAATTTTGTTAACTAATAATCACTAAACCCTATTGAGTGTGAATTATTCTTCAGTCATTATTAAATAAAACTCCCAAACAAGATTTGTCTTCTGCAATAGCCAGGGCTAGAGTTGTGGCATCCCGTTAACGAAATGTAGTTAAGAGCTACCGCTTTTATCACAATTATATTTAGTATATGCCTTAAAGGGATGTTTCTTACACTTCAAACCAAGCAATTGTAAGAAAAACACAAGTATTTCGATTTATTTCTGTGTAGTAGTATAAGTGAATTTTCTATGTTATTCATGTTCATTGCTCTCGCTCGCTCGCTTGCCTTTCGGCACAACTCTTCTATCCCTGTTTAACGCATCTGTAATTTTGGATACCTGTGTGTGGTCCCGTAATAAACGTAATCAACACTTTGTATTCGCCTTCTGATTAATATACCGTTGGGGCGTTATATAGGACGGTTATCAAGACGAACTGTATACGAATTTTAAGGATTATATCGAATACCGACCACCAGAAAATCATTGTGAAATTCGGAGCTCATAAACCACTTCAAATAGGCGTAGATACACAAAAGTACATAAAATCCGAGTATAAAATAATCACTACTCCATTAGCTGACATATGACAAGTATTATTGCAGATTACTATATAGCAGCGTAGAAAGATATCAGGCATAGAAACTGATTACATGTAAAACAAAGTTAAATAAGGATGATGTTGGCGAACGAACATCACTTATAGCGAGTAAGAATTTCATGTTCTGTAGGCTACCAAATAAATCCCTAGGAAAACTGATTTTAAAGCAGTTCGGAATTTCGAATACTTCCCATGTTGATTAAAGCGAAAATTATTCCATAGTTATATGGACTCTTGATGTGTGTTCAAGCAGAAAGTACAAATATGTTTCACAGCAGTGTTTTATTTCTAGGAAAAAAATAACACAATTCTCAATAAGACTATTCCTTTCATTTTAAGTATTATTCAACAACCATATGCAGCTTTTCACAACGGAAATGTGAAATTAAAACAAATTTGGGTACACTCGATCGATATGCCTGTTTAATCACCGAAACAGCTCTTGAACAGTTAAAATGTGCCTTGATTTAACCTGTATATTAAAGCTGTCTCAATAACAGTTAATTAAAAAGCATCAAATGACATTGCAAATAGATATTTTCTTAATCAATTAGCGAACTACGAAGTACTTACCTTAACAATAATTTGCAATATTCCAGTGCACTTCGATGACAGCCCCGTTCACTAATTTTCAAGATATAGCGGAAAAGTGCTACAAACAAACCACTTTAGTATCAAGAACAGAATAATCACCAGCAAAACTCACCGATTGACTTGACGCTTAAAGTCTAGACGACAAGAACCGTTGAATGGATTAAAGGATGGATGGAAAGCTGATTGAAAAGCATGGAGTGCGCGTTCTAAAAAATGACATTATTTAACTAATTTAACTTCGCTCACCCAGAAGGTCAGTACCTACAGTCGTATCTTCCTGGTGCATCATTATTTCGCTCAACTGTAGTAAAGAATCTATGTGATAAGGATTTTCATATAATATACTCTGTGGAGAAACTTATAATATAAAATTTATTCTTACACTCAAATTATTTGGATTCATGGATTCTAAAGCATTGTAAAATGACCTCTGGATATTTTGATATTCTTTACTGTGTACGAAAGTATATGAACCACAACCCAAAGGTTCCATACTCAAGCCAATTCGAACAGTAGGTGGCCAAGTGGACTTTATCGATACAAGCATACCACGTTTGACGCGACTTCGTTTTCTTCGTAAATATGTTTCGGACCCACCGATAACTTCTGACCCAAACAAACGACTAAGTTCCCCAACATGATCTAGCATCTTGATATTTACTTTTAGCAAATCTATCACTTGTTTATTTTGATTAGCAATCCCTGGGTCATTTGGAAGTTTTATATTACCTAATTGGTAGGTTATTCCAGTTTTCTGAGGAAAACACGGAATATCATAAAAAGCAACTTACGTCCTTTTGCTTATTTTTTTTCTTTTTCCGCTTTTTGGATTTAAAAGATTCACAATGATCCTGAGGATTGTCATCAGAGGAAGGAATAGTTATCAACTGTGAGGGAAAACAATTACTGAACTAATATGGTAACTGATATGACTGAAAAGCTCACTTCGGAGAAAACAGAACCTCCGGTGATGGGATCGTCATTATCACTAAAATTATTATTGTCATCAAGCGAATTTTCAGAATCTTTCTTCAGTTTACGTAATACCCGGGAAGACATTACGATCAAATAACAAAAGAACTAGAGGTAAAAGTAGCAGTAAAAAGATAAATCAGATACATATATAAGGAATTTTGACTGCCTAGCAAAAGTAACTATGTAACTGATATGATGGGAAGAAAAATCAATTTTCGATTGATTTACTCACTATGAGTTTTGTTCAACATTACTTCCGTTTTGATTCAATGTGACGATTATTCACTGTATTATTTGTTTTCTTCTGTCGTATATTTTATTCAGTATAATATACGATATTCTTGTATTCCATTGACACGAACTATAACCAGTCTGTGATTTGTTATAACTCTAAGTATTTTCCACATATGTGATTTCATCCTAATTATTAATCAAAAATGGGTGTAAAATCAATATATAAACCAGTGTATTTTAGACTATTTTGATCATCGTCGTCATCGTGTTTTGGGGCTAATAAATCTTTACTTATACCAGTCTTGTGTTCTTACTTCGCAACGTGGGAATTGCAGGGGTCCCTCGTTCCGAGTATATGTGATCAGCACTTTTTTTCGGCACAACAATTGCGACGACCGAACATAACAGTAACCACAAACTATCCAACCATATTAATTGCTTGTATTTGGATACTCAATAAAGTAACTGAATTTCCTCCTACAGTCACTCCAGCTATACCTTATGGCTTGTTTCTGAATAGCCCAGTTTGGAGTCCAGAATCATGTAAGAGTTTGGTGGACTTACCTTGAATACAAAAATGGCTTTTAACATCTCAAAGGCCTGTGACAAATCCAAACAATGGAAATTAAGTTGATAGTAATCCTTTTTAACAAATGATGTGAATGAGTCATCTAGATTCATCCGACCCGACCGTTGCTGCTACCTTGACGTGGTGGTCGGGCTTGCCTATCGTGATAAACCAATAGAGCTATACTAGCTAGAACAATCGTTCCTCAAGGTCCTACCATGCCAAATAGGTCGGTTGAAGAACGGTAAGACTAAAAGAAGCGAACCCAAGTTCCGAAGGCGAAGCCATACCGCTGACTGTACAGTTGTCCCTTAAGCACTGCGGTCACGCTCTCAGGTCACTATGACCACCTCTAACACAATTTCCTTTTCAGGTACCTCCAGAAGAACCCTTACAGAGTGTGAGCAACCGGGAAGTGATAACCGCCCTCATACCTCTAACAGAACTCAAGATCACTGTATTCATAATTAACCTCTCTCTTCAATTCCTATTACTCCTCCTATATCGACATTCAACTCTAAACTTCCTCTTTTGGCTTCCTCCTCAAGTGTCACCATAGCCAACGATTCTAGTGCGCAAAACACTGTCCCAGGTCTACTGAGACCTCGCTCCAAACTACACATCGGAGCCTTCAACGTACGCACTCTATGTCAAACCATTCACCAGGCCTCCTTGGCTAAAACCCTAGAATCTCCTACCATTGATGTATGCTGTGTCTCCGAAACACACATACAGGATCCCAGTGTGGTCATTCACTTGACCTTACATCGACAAAAAGGGAAAGCCGACGAGATACACCCTACGTGTATCTGCCAACCAGATGGCTAGTTCTGGTGGACTGGTGTGTGTAGGCATAGCACTAAGTATGAGGGCGGAACAAGCACTACTAGTGTGGATCCCCGTTAACAATCGTCTATGTGCTGTTCGGCTAAACGGCTCCGTAAGAACTCGGAAGGACAGAAACACACATCGTTACCTTTTCGTCATTTCTGCCTATGCTCTCACCGACTGCAGCACGGATGAAGTAAAAGATGAATTTTACAGAAAGCTCTTTGAACTTCTTCAGAAAGCTAAACGTTCAGACATAGTACTCGTAGAAAGTGACTTCAATGCCCAGATAGGTAGCACAAACCAAAAAGAAAGACATTTAGGTGGGTATTTTGATATTCCGGCTCAGGGAACAGATAATGGTGATCATCTGCTGCAACTGTGCTCAGATAATCGTTTATTATTAGCAAACACGAATTTCAACCATAAGGAGAGACATCGTCTAACATGGCGACCCCTTACACCAAATCAACGATGGACTTAAATAGACCATACTGCCATCAGTCATCGTTGCAGAAGCTCGATAGAAGACTGCCACTAGTTCAAGAGTACATGTTTGGACTCTGATCATGCTCTAATACGAGCACGCATCTGCTTGCGCCTCACTGGACCCAGAGAAACCACATTAAGAATACTCACTAGAGTCAAACTCAGTGACAAGGAAGCCAAAAGTAGATTTCAGGAACAACTAAGGTCACACTTAGGTAGTTCTGAAAACGAGGCTGACCCAGATGTTGCTTGGAAAGATACACGGACAGCTGTGGAAACAGAAACGACATCTATTAGTGATTCAAAACGAAGGGTTACGAAAAATCAATGGATTTCTACTAAGTCTATTGCATTGACAGATTCTCGTAAACTCATCCCATCAGGCCCCGAACACGATGAAGGGCGAAAACAAATCACATCTAGGTTAACCAAAGTGGACTGGCGGGTATAGGTATAGCACTACATACGAGAACAGACCAAGAACGATCGTGAGCAGTGATGGGCAACGAAAGCAAAAGAGATGGAAAAGGCGGCGGTTATACGGAACACAAGACAGCTTTTCAGACTAGTAAAAGAAACTGGAATTAATAAGTCAAGTGTAAGTGAGAACATCTCGGAAAAAGACGACACTCTTATCTGCTCCCAGTCCAGACGTTTAGAACGATGGGCAGAACAATCTAAGGAGCAGTTGAGCTAAACCTCCGCTACTCTACAACTACCCACCATTCCCAGACAGTGTGAATGGAACATTGAAGTAGGTCTCCCAAATCTAGCTGAAGTCCAAAAGGCTATAGTTAATCTGAAATGAGGAAGGGCAGCTGGTCCAGATGGATTGGCTCTAGAGGTCTTTAAGTACGGTGGTCCAGTTTTGGTGATTAAGTTGACTAATATTTTAGCTAAAATCTGGGGGTTGGACGTTATCCCATCTGACTGGTCACAATCACTGATCGTCCCAATATATAAGAGAGGGTTAAAATCATCCTGTGACAACCATAGAAGGATTAGTATGACTAACATAACATCTAAAATACTAGCGTCGATAATTGTCGGTCGCCTAACTAAGACTCGTGAACTGCAAACACGAGAAAATCAGGCTGGCTTCAGACCTGGTCGTGCCTGCATCGACCACATATTCACCATTCGTCAGGTTCTAGAACACAGACAGTGTATGTCATTGAAAGACGTACCTCAGAAGTACATAAACCTTGTGAAGGCTCTTTACTCGAACACTACTAGTCGAGTCAGAGCTTATGGCAGACTGTCATCTGCTTTCGCAACCTCAAGTGGTGTCCATCAAGGCTGTTCAATTTCTCCATTTTTGTTTAACTTCATCATAGACCTACTGATGGAAATAACGTTCTTGTCGACTGAATTTTTGGGAATTGATCTCCTACCAGGAGGTCAACTTATCGACTTAGAACACGCAAATGACATAGTCCCGTTTGGTCAAAACGCTGATCAAATGCAGAGTCTTTTGGTAGCACTGAGCAACTCTATACCAGAATGTTAGGGATGCGCTTATCTCCCTCTAAATGCAAGTTGTTGCTTCAGGACTGGCCTGCGTCAACACCTGAACTGCAAATAGGGAGTAAAGTAGTCCGACGCATCGACAACTTCACTTATCTTGGAAGCCTGATCAGCCTTAATGGGTTGGTGTGACGAAATCTTTGTACGGATTCAAAAAGCTCGTTTGGCTTTTGCCAGCTTACGTCACCTATGGCGAAGGCGAGATATCCGTCAACCAATAAAGGGACGAATATAATGCGCAGCAGTTCGTTCTGTTCTACTTCACGGCTGCGAAACATGGCGTTCGAGAGTATAAGATACTCGTAAGCTACTAGTATTTGACCACATATAAATTAGAAATATTGCTCGCATCTACTGGGGTCACTAGGTAAATAATAGTGAGGTTAGACGCAGGGTATCAGGGAATGGTGGTAAATCAGTTGATGATGTTGTGAATCTTTATCGACTGAGATGAATGGGCCACGTGTTACGTATGCCTGAACACCGATTACCACGACGCGCAATGCTAACCGGCGTTGGGGATGGTTGGAAGAAAGTCAGGGGTGGCCAAACCAAAACGAGACATTAGTGCTTGGAATCAGTGACTTCTAGTCTTAGCCATGATGGTAGACGCAGACTACCTGGTTGGGGTCCGCGTGACCATTGTAACCAATGGTTGGGGACTCTGGGTGACATGGCTCAGAATCGACAATGCTTCAGGTGTATACACTATCAGTCTTCCCCTAAATTATGAGATTAAAATTGTTCTATATCATTTATTCTACAAACCAACTCCTCCCTGTACTATATACTTATATGCTATCTTTTTTAATATATTACTACTACTTCCATGAATTCGGTGTTCATATTGTTGTGCTAATGAGGTATGGCAACTTGGACCGATGCATATGTGCCTGGTCCTACGTTGTAGCTGACTGACTGATTAATCGGAGTGTTAAAAATTTAGTTTGGGTGATAGCCCACTCGTCAATGCAAACTGACAGCTTAATATTGAAAGATTTATAAGACTAAAACTGATAAGCCGGAGTGATACGAATTATATGTGAAGCTGAATGAATGAACCTTCTGCTATAAGGAGGGAAAGAACCTATCAGACGGGAAACAGTCTTATTTCTTACTTTTACTTGACAGGTTACAAGACTGAGCCTCAACTAAATATAGAAGCATACGGTTAAAGGCCACGTTTACGTCTTTGACGAACGTCTTAGTGAAGCTAGAATTACAGGATCTAACACGAAACTATAGAACCGACAGATTTATCTTTCATGGTAGACTGATAACTAATGGTACTCCTTTTTACGGAAACCATAGAAAATTAGAGCACCGAAAGGAACCATTTTCGTTCCACTCGACAGTCGTTTAACTTATCACTTTAGAACGTTAACGCATGCAAACTTCTACTCTCTGGTTGAACAAAAAAAACTAGCGTTACTAAAAG